GCTTGCTTGCAGCGTAAGCTAAGCAAGCTATACAAACTAGCGAACAATTATAAATTTTAAATTAGACTAGTTATCTTATAACTTTGGTTATAAATAAAACATTATATAGTTTATTATTCTCCTTATAACAAAATAAGTTAGAACTTATAGTGATATAAAGAAATTTGTATCGTAAAAATAGATGAGTTTGGTGATGGCTCTGATTGAATGCTGTCCAAGTGCTTGACACATGCTAATCGTACGTTTTAATTTGTAAGAGCAAAGTGCCCTTACATAAATTAAAAAGTGGTGTACAGGTGAGTATAATGATATTCTTAGCCGACCTTAAAGTGGAGGTAAATCCTTCATAATACATAAAGGGATATGTAATCCTGCTTTAAGAGGACAATAAATATCTTCGGGATAGGTAGTAGTTAAGGTGATGGCTTAACTAGCCTAAAACTCTCGTAGTCGAATCTGAAAGGTTGATCGACCACATTGGGTCTGAAAAAACCCCAATGCAAGTTAGTACAGCAGTGAGGAATCTTGGTCAATGGCCTAACGGCTGAACTGGCAACTTGGAGAAGTGGCAAGTCTTATTTTGATTATATTACTATATATAATCTATAAGATTGTATTAAAATTGAATAAAGCTTTGTTTATATATTGATAATGACAGTATATATATCGTGTCTTGACTAATTACGTGCCAGCAGTCGCGGTAATACGTAAGAGACTAGTGTTATTCATCTTAATTAGGTTTAAAGGGTACCTAGACGGTCAATATAGCTTCTAAAATGTTAGTACTTGACTAGAGTTTGATATAAGAGGGTAGTACTTGAGGAGGAGAGATGAAATTCTATTATACCAAAGGGACTCGGTAAAGGCGAAGGCAGCCCTCTATGTAAAAACTGACGTTGAAGGACGAAGGCACAGAGCACAAACAGGATTAGATACCCAAGTAGTCTTTGCAGTAAATGATGAATGCCATAGGTTAGATTAAGCTTTAATTAATTAGTTTCGAGCCTTTGGCTGCAGTAATGAACTAACTATTAAACAATATTTAGTCTATAAATGAAAGTGTAAGCATTCCACCTCAAGAGTAATGTGGCAACGCAGGAACTGAAATCACTAGACCGTTTCTGACACCAGTAGTGAAGTATGTTGTTTAATTCGATGATCCACGAAAAACCTTACCACAATTTGAATATTTTACAGGAGTTGCACGGCTGTTTTCAGTTAATGTTGTGAAACTGTGGTTTCCATGTAATTAACGCAATCCCTGGCTTTATTTTTTAAGACTAAGCTCTACGATAAAGCATTTGATCCAGGATTTGGAAAGAAAAAGGGGACAAAGACAAGTCATCATGGCCTTGATATTGTGGGCTGATAAGTACCTTAGGAAAGTACTACGTTGGCTAAAACTATCAAATTCCGGGGACACCCTAAAGCTTTTGGTACTAAGCCATATATGAAAATATATGAGTGGCTGAACTAATTACTCAGGTATAGTAACAAGCCAGAAGATGAGTGAAAACGAAATGGGTTATCGCGGATCTAAGTCAAATAAAAATAAAACTTTATTTGTAAAAGAGCAACGAGTAGACGGTAGTTGACTTCTAAATAAAATAGCTGCTCCATATAGAAGTTTAAGGTGTACTCTAATGGGTTTCGAAAGAAACTATCAAGTCAAAGTCCTTACTAAACAATTATTTAATAGAACTTATTCAACTTTAACAGAGAAATTAAATCCTTGATTTATAACAGGATTTTCAGATGCTGAATCTTCTTTTATAGTTTCAATTTACAGTGATCTAAATAACAAATTGAAATGAAGAGTTTCAGCCTATTTCTCTATTCATCTACATATTAAAGATCAACCGTTATTAGAACTAATTCAACAAACTCTAGGTGTAGGTAAAGTTAGAAAAAATAATACAAATACTGTTTTATTTAGAGTTAGTGATATAGAAGAATTACAGATAATAATAAATCATTTTAAAAATTATCCTTTAATTAGTGCTAAACGTTCTGATTTTTTATTATTTGAACAATGCTATAACTTAATAAAACAAAAAGAACATTTAACACAAATAGGTTTAGAAAAGATTTTAGCATTAAAATCTAATTTAAATAAAGGTTTGACCAATGAACTAAAAGATGCTTTTCCTAATATTGTATCAGTAGATAGACCTGAATATAAATTCCCTGGTATTCCTAATCCTTTCTGAATGTCAGGGTTTGCAACAGGTGATTCTTCATTTGGTGTTTACATAGAAAAAAGTACAAGTAAAATAGGTAAAAGAGTAAGATTAATATTTGGGGCTTGTTTACATATTAGAGATAAAGACCTATTAAAAGGTATGGCGAACTATTTTAATTTATTTTACTCATTTGAGGTAGATAAAGAAATTTCAATATATTGTAATGAAATAGCTAATACTTGTCTTCTTCAAATTAAAAATATTTCAGATATTGAAAATAAAATAATACCGTTTTTCAATAAGTATCCTATACTAGGTCTAAAGCAGTTGGATTTTGAAGATTTAAAAAAAGTAGCAGAATTAGTTAAAAATAAAGAACATTTAAAGGTAGAAGGTTTAAATAAAGTAATAAAAATAGCAGAAGGTATGAATTTAAGTAGAAAATGATAAAGTTTTACAATAAAACAAGCTTTAGTGTGCACAACTAAATAGTATTGTTTGTATTTTTGAATAATTGCAAGTTAAATTTGATTATCCATGATAGACGTGCCACATATTCCTAGACAAAGAGATGCAAAAATGTGAATTTAAGCTAATCTCTAAAAATAGGATATAAATTTTAAGGATTGTAGTCTGAAACTCGACTACATGAATAAGTAATTACTAGTAATCGTGAATCACCATGTCACGGTGAATTAACCTTGGATTGGTACTAACCACTCGTCACATGCTGAAAAGAGTATGCGCAATAAGTTTGCTTTTTCAATGATCAGTAAAAACAACAAGCAGGTTCTATATCCTATTATTGGAAATCTTCGTATGCGTGACTCTAATTAGTGTTAAGTCGAAATACGGTTCGCGTAGTGGAAGTTGCGCGGGAATAATGAATATTAACAATAATTATATGTTTTAGTAATTTATCTTTTGATAGTTACTTAAAACAAAACTTGGAAATTGGTTGTATTTGGTTCGAATCCAAAACAAGTTTATATACTGAAGTTTAACACTTTTATATTGAGATATAAAAGTGAATGAATTTAAATTAATCCAGTTAAAGTATATATAAATAGTGTGCTAGCTAGCTAGGCATGCTATATTAGATGTAAAAAAAACTATCTATATGATAATATAAGAAAGCCAAGTATTAATTTGTGCTGCGCATCCTGGCTGCAGCAGCAGCAGCAGCAGCTTTTTAGAAAAAATAGAAGTATGTCAGCACCCTTTAGGGGGGAGCCTTTATTTAACAACAACCACAACTACAGGTATAACTAAAGAATAGCAGGAATAAGTGCGGCCTTAGATTAAAATGCTAGTTATTCTACTATTATTAATAAATTAAAAAGTAATAAGATAAAACCTTATCTGCTACACAGAAAAATCACGAATAATTTGTGCGTAGGCTTATCCCTGCTGCTGCAGCAGCAGCAGCAGCTTCTATTTTTTTTTTAGCTTTTTACTAAAAAAGCAGTAATGCAAAAAAAAAATAGCGCAAGCTAGGTAGTTTCTATCTTTAGGATAGGGATTAATAAAATTTTACGATAATATATTTTATTTTATTTTATTATCTAAAGGAGGGTTCCTTTATTGGCAAGAAGGGTTGAGCTGTAAACTCAATAGCTATGCTTATAAGAGTTCGAATCTCTTGTCTCCTAGAATTAGTAACTTAATTAGGTAAAGGATTTCCCTGTCACGGAAATAGATGTCGGTTCGATTCTGATCTAATTCGTTATATATCTTGTATTCATTTATCCAAGTAAAACACAGGTTGTATAGTTTTAGCTTTAGCTTGCGCTGCAGCAGCTGCTCGTATAAAAGACTAAGATAGGTAAAGTCTTCTATAGGTAGGATAAGGCATTTGCTACTTTTCCTAAGAGGAAAAGTATCCATAGGTAAGGTAATGTATTTGCTATATACTGTGCTACTCGCACCTAGGCGTTCGACTCGCCTCTTTTCCGTTAGAAGATTATTTGCTTCTTTTTAACTTATAAATTTAGATATATATGAAGAATATAAAAAAGATATTTAACCCTAACAGTATTTGTAGATGCTAAAGGCTGATTTAACTTAAGATTAGCTAAAGATAAAAATTACGAGCAGAGCTTGCTATGATTTTTTATAGCTAAAGCTGAGCTTGCATAGGCTATTATTTTTAAAAAAGAATATGCCTACGAATTTTTTTTTATAAAAGCCTAAAAATAAAAGCCAAGGATGATTTGTTCAAGCTTGTTTTCAATTACAACTTCATTATAAAGACTTATTTTAATGTATTAGGTATTATTTCTATAACCAAAGATAAAAAGTCTTGTATATATCAAGTCCATGCTTTTTATAGTATAACTAATATTTTTATTCAGTTTTATAAATATCCTTTAGAAAATATCAATTTGTTATGTTAAAAGGCATTGATTTTTGAAAGTATAACAAAGATACTTTGTATATACTAAGAGGTGGTGACAATTCTGATGTAAAATAATTGTTAACTGTATTTTAAATTACTGTTGTTCAATTAGTAAGAGGTAGTAGTAAGAGCTTGTACTAATTTTTTTTTATTTTTTTTGCGCAGCAGCTGCAGCTGCTGCTATACTTCGTCAGAAGTATGCCAGCCCCCTGCTTTGCAGGGGTCAGGAGCCGCATAAAGGCGGGCCATATCCCTGCTTTGCTACTTCATAGGGATCAGGAGCACTAAGCACGCATTAAGTACGCAGTAAGCACGCATATAGTTAGCCCTATAGATTTTAAATAGTCTTCATATAAGATGATTTTATGAAATATGAATTGTAATCAGTGATAAATGCAATTAGAGTATTTATCACTCAAGCCCCTGTAGCTTAATGGTAAAGCGCACTACTGTTAATAGTGTTTATAGATGTTCGATTCATCTTAGGGGCTTTTAAATCAATGTTCGAAACTGTATTTTTTTTATTACTTATATAAAAATGACTAACACAATAAGAAGTAATTTTCAAGATCATCCTTTCCATTTAGTGTCACCTTCGCCATGACCTTTTGTGTGATTTGGGAAATCACTACCATATAGGGTTAAACTGTCAAATTCCGGGGACACCTTAAAACCATTGATACCAAATTTAGTATGAAAATACATAAATGGATGATCTAATCAATCATGTACGGTAATAAGTCAATGGATTCTCGAAAGTTGAATAGGCAATCGCGGATCTAAATCAGTCTTTTGTAACATATTATGTAACTATTTATGTACACTGGCTGTAAAAGAGCAACGAGTAAACGGCAGTTGTATAGAAAAAAATTCTATATTAAAATGTACTCTAATGGGCTTTGAGAAAAGCTATCAAGTCAGAATCCTACCTAAACAAATAATTATATTAAGGAGTTATTCCACTTTAGATATTAAGACGGGCAAAATTGAAAATATTCTAAACCCTTGATTCACCACTGGAATCGTAGACGCAGAAGGATGCTTTACACTCAATATTCACAGACGTACTGGAGGTAAAACAGGCTGGGATGTAAAGCCTTGCTTTACCATTGTATTACATAAAAAAGATGAAATAATATTAAAAAAACTACAAAGTTTATGGGGAGTAGGGCATATATATAAACATGGTCAAAGAGGAATTCAATTTCAAGTAAATTCAATAACTGAATTACAATCAATAATTAAACATTTTGATCGTTACCCTTTATTAACTAAAAAACGTATAGATTTCATTTTATTTAAAGATATAGTAAATATTATTTTTAATAAAGAACATTTAACTGAAGAGGGTATACTTAAACTTGTGTCAATTAGAGCTTCTTTAAATTTAGGTTTATCTGATAGATTAAAACAACAATTTCCAAGTATAAAGCCTGTACCTAGACCACAAGTAGAACCTAATTATTCATCTATACAAGAGCAGTGATTAGCTGGATTTACTACAGTAGCTCCGCACGAAGGTTGTTTTTTTGTAAAAATAACTAAAGCTAATACAAAAATAGGAGAAAGAGTCCAGTTAGTATTCCAGTTAAATCAACATATTAGAGATGAAGAATTGATAAGGAGCTTAATTCAATATTTAAACTGTGGTGGAGTAACTCTAAATAGTGCCTCTATAGATTATCGTGTAACAAAATTAGAAGACAACCTTACTAAAATAATACCATTTTTTGAAAAAAATCCTATAATAGGAGTAAAATATAAAGATTATCTTGATTTTATTCAAGTAGCAAGATTAATGAAAGATGGACAACATTTAACATTAGAAGGTTTTGAAAAAATAAAAAAAATAAAATTAAACATGAATAGGGGTAGAACTTAGTTTAATATAATAATATTGCATGGTAAATCTGATCAACATGTTATATACAAGTATTTCATTATTTACTTTAACAGTAAATGCTGCATTATCAATGCATTTATTTAATAATAGTTATATCTTCTTATACTTAGCCTTAGGTACATTAATCGCATCTATGACTTTATGATTTAGAGATATAATCTCAGAAGGTAGACCAATCCTTTCTCATTTTAATTTAAATATAGCTAAAGCCATATCATTAGATGATATTAACAAAACATTAATTAATTATAAATGTAATAACAATATTACAGTCTTTAAAGGAAATGATTTAGGTCATTATTTAGCTGGTCTTTTAGAAGGTGATGGCCATATTTCCTTACCTTCTTTAGGTAATACTACCTTAAATCGAGTACTTAACCCTAGAATAGTATTCACTTCACATAAGGATAATTTAGGTATGTATGCTTTTCTTCAATCAGAATTAGGAAATATAGGGCGTTTTCAATCTTCAGGTAATAATATAATACGTTATATTATAGGAGATATAAAAAGTATAATTTATATTACTAATTTAATACATGGGAAATTAAGAACACCTAAAAATAAAAGATTTAATGACTTGATTCAGTTCATAAATACTAAATACGATTTAAATATACCTGAAAGTAATTTATATAATGGAAATTATATAGAGAATCGTTGATTCACAGGTTTTACAGAAGCAGATGGGCATTTTGGAATAAAATACATAGAAAAGAAAGGTAAATCAGAAACACGTAAAAGATCTGTGAGCGAAAGTATTTCACTTAAATTTAGATTAGACCAACGTGCATATGATAAATCTACATCCTCTAACATGAAACCCTTTATGGAAGAGTTAGCTTTTTTTTTGAATTGTAATTTAACTACTTATGAAAATAAAACTGGTGAAGTTTTATCTTTATATGTTTCTTCTATTGATAATATTAAAATAATTATTAACTATTTTGTGCTTCGCATAAATATCCTTTAATAGGAGATAAACTTAATGACTATAATAAATGAAAAATCGTTTATAATATGATAATATCTAAAGAACATCTATCTGAACAAGGTAGATTAAAAATTAGAGCTTTAATAAATAAATTTTAATCATGTAAGTGCCTTCTTTAAATTTAACCAATTGCTGGGAAACCCTTAATAAAGGATAATCAGCAGGAAATTAAGAGATTATAAATTATCTTTTAGTATCTTCAGAGACTAAACGTTAAAAATAAATACGTTATTATAACCTATTTGTTAAGATATAGTCCAACAAATATAGAAATATATTTTAATTATTGACTTACTTAGGTAACCACACAGTCGCAGTACAAAAAGGATTAAACCTTGGTGTTATATTATTTATAGTATCAGAAGCTTGTTTCTTCGTAGCTATATTCTGAGCATTCTTCCATAAAGCATTGTGGATAGTAGCCAAATTCCGGGGACACCCTAAAGCTCTAATAACTAAACTTTTTACGGAAACATTTAAAGTGGCCTGATTAATGTCTCAGGGTATAGTAAGATCATTAGAGATTATTGATTTAAATCAATGAATGGGCAATCGCGGATCTAAATCAGATAGTTTTATATCTGTAAAAGAGCAACGAGTAGACGGTTACTCAATATCATCTAGATATTGTAAGGTGTATTCTAACAACCAGAGAAATCTGGTATTTCGTCTTAATAATAATATTATACTTAATCATTGGCCAGCTCTCCGAAAGGTAGGGTCTTTTAATAATTTTTATTCTAAAACCCCCTACATAGCGCTCTTTTCTACTAAAGTATCCAGGTTAAATCCATATTATGTTACAGGATTTACCGATGGAGAAGGATGTTTTTTCTTGCGCAGCACAGGAATTAGTCCAGATTCTAAAAGTAAAACCGATTTTAGAGTAAAAGCTATTTTTCAAATAGGTGTGCATATCAAAGATATCGCTCTATTAGAAGAAATAAAATTATTCTTTAATGTAGGTAATATTTCTAAATTAGGTTCAGATTCTATACAATATAGAGTGACTGGTATTAATGATTTAAAAGTTATTGTTAATCATTTTGACCAATTTCCTTTATTAACTTATAAACAGTCCGATTATTTACTTTTTAAACAAGTAGTCGAACTAATTGAAGAAAAAAAACATTTAACTTTAGAAGGTTTAAATAGCATTATATCTATTAAAGCTTCATTAAATAGTAAAAAAATAACCGATAACTTAAAATCTGCTTTTCCTAATATAATACCTGCTTTAATACCCCAAATTAACGCTAGAGAAATCAAAGATTTAAATTGATTAGCTGGTTTTACTGAAGGGTGCTTTTTTATTGCATTAAAAAAGTCTTTATCTTCTAAATTAGGAGAAGCAGTTTGATTAAAATTTATTTTAACTCAACATATTAGAGATAATGTATTTTTACATTCTTTAATATCTACTTTAAATTGTGGTAGATATGTAACTAAATCAGGTTATGGCGAATTTATAGTAGAGAAGTTTAAAGATATAGATGAAAAAATCTTACCTATATTCGAAACCTTTAAGTTGCACGGGGTAAAGTCTAAAGAATATGAAGATTTTAAAAAAGCAGCAGCTATAATAAGAAATAAAGACCATTTAACGAGAGAAGGGCTAGATTACCTAAAAAAAATAAAGGGACAAATGAATAAAAATAGAAAACATTAAGATTATAACATTATAATATAGACGAAAAACATATCTTATTTAATTATAAGATAACAATGAGTGCTTTAACACCTACTGTAGAACTAGGTGCTCAATGACCACCTATGGGTATAGAACCTGTTAATCCTTTCGAATTACCTTTATTAAATACTGTAATCTTATTATCTAGTGGTGCTACTATAACTTACGCACACCACTCTTTAATTAAAGGAGAAAGATCAGGAGCTATATATGGTACATTATTTACAGTATTATTAGCATTAATATTTACTTGCTTTCAAGGAATAGAATATAACGTATCATCATTCACAATAAGTGACGGTGTATTCGGTACATGTTTCTTTTTCGGTACTGGGTTCCACGGATTCCACGTTATCGTAGGAACAATATTCTTAGCAGTAGGATTATGAAGAATATTAGCATACCACTTAACGGATCATCACCACTTAGGTTATGAAGGAGGTATATTATACTGACATTTTGTCGACGTAGTATGATTATTCTTATACGTATCAATGTATTACTGAGGATCTTAATATTAAATTAATTAGAGAAATTCTTCTCTAAACGGGTATAAGTTAATGGTAGACTTTCTGATTTCCACTCAGCGTGTGTCAGTTCAAATCTGACTACCCGTAAACTTGCTGTGTATACAGCTATATAAATAAATCTAAAAGCTTTAGAGCAATTTGCTCCAATATATTTCCTAATCTTAGGTAATTCATCGACATCTTGCGTATAAATAAATATGAATCAATTATTCTCAGTTCAGGATATCTTAACAAGTGGATATACAGTTGAATTTCTAGATATATTAAGTGTAATAGCATTATTATTTAGTATAGCTGTTATAATAAATAAAAATCCGATAGCTTCATTATTATCTTTAATCGGTCTATTTGGATCAATATCTGTGTATTTAATT